TGCTTTAATATCTTTTTTTGGAGCTGCTTATAGATTATTTTTATTTTCTTATAGTCAGCATGGAATAATATGGCTTGAGGTGATGCACGAGACCGTGTGGTAAAATCGCCTTATGTGTGACCTTAGTCACACACTTTTTTGTTATAGCTAACATGTAAAATAAACCCTATGATTGAGCCTCTCACTAGAAAGTCGAGATTTTGGTTGTATTATAACAAAAATGTGGGATCACAAATGCTCGAGAGGAGTCAAACAATATTAACGGAACTTTAATTTTTTCTCACCGTGGCCATAGGTGGTAGGTACCATTTTTTCAATTCATCGGTCAAGAAAAGTTATGCGACTTATACCTCCACCCTAAATGCTCTTTTTTTTCATAAATTCGTCGGAGTTACCTGAACCAGAGTATTTTTTTTATGTACTACCACACATTGTATATCTACTGAGTTTGTTCCAACTCCCTTCTTCGAACATTATTGTGATAAAATATCATCTTATGAAAATGTGAAACAAAATAATTCTCCATAAGAAAAAAATACTGTTGAAGCCACAACAAAAACTCAGTGGGCCCTCTACATACTATATTATTAATAGGATAAATAATAGATTTATAACGTAAATGCACTTCCTGATAAAATTGGTCACAAAATATGAAAATTTAATATTTCGAACGTACGGCTTCACACCTCCTCTTATAATTATTTACAGCCCTACGAAAAAAATAACGAAATTCTTGTCGCAGAAAATATATGATAATGAAGTGCAAATGCAAAAAAATATAAGAAACATGAATTATAAGAAATGTGCTTCAAGCAATAGTACATTATATATATCACATTGTTTGTAATACCAAAAAATAATCCATGTTTATAAAATCAGTATGCAGTTAGCTTTCGGAGGATAGTGATCTCCAAAACTGCGCCTTGCGATGACCATGTGTGCTATCTATTGACAAAACTATAGAACCATCTTGTCGACGCATTTCACCAACCCCCGTACCGCATCGCTTCCAGTGTTCATTCATTCTCCATTCCAATCAATATTTTTAGTGTGTGACATTACTTGCCACTTATGAGCCGGTTTCCGCGTAGGATTTGGTACGTGAATAGCCATGTATGTTCGATAATGATTATGAATTTTGGTTCTCTGAATGAAGTTATGGTTTAGCTTGTTTACTGGCTTGCGATGGTACTTTTGCTTCATACTTAGTACTTCGTTGCCACATTTCTGTGTATTTTTGTCAAAATATAATTTAATATATTTTTAAGTACAAATGAAGCAATGTGAACAGTTATAATGTGCACTTTGCTTCTAAAGAAAATGTAATGTATTAATTAGCTTTAGCTCATGTGTGGAAGAAATTTGATTTGGCAACATGACGCATACATACGTTCTTCTGTCACAGGAGTCACTAGCAGAGAAATGGTCATTATGGCAGGCATGGACGAACATGAGAGGAAGATAGTGATTGAATTCTGTCATTTGTTGGAGAAATCGAAACAGCTATTCAATGGCCTTAGGTAAGTAGGCATTCAATTGATCTGTCAAGTTATGTTATTTTTTGTGGCTTCCATTCCCTGTCTACAATTTAGAATTTTCACTGGCTGTTAATTATCTTCTGTAATGATTCATTGAAAGCTTCAATTCACAAACTGTATTATCTATAATGTTATGATCTTCATCTGCAGAAAGAAATGTTACTTTGCTATTAAATTGTGAAATTATACTGAATCCATGAACTGACAGCAAAGAATTTCGATTGCTTCCTATATTGAAATTACATTTACTCATATTCCTTGTAACAGCAAAATTCTTAAATGTTATGTAGTTAAATATGACTATATTGAATATGCTATGGTTCTTTAAAACAAAGTTTACAATAGATGTGTAGAAACATGTTAACAGTATTGGTTATGGTTTAGCAAGCTCAGAAACTTTTTTCTTGTTATGCAAAACTGATTGATATCTTTCAGGGATTTGCCTCAGTATGGACATAAACAGTGGCAAGCATATTTTGGAAGAACATTTGATATATATACAAAGCTTTGGAAATTTCAACAGCAACATAGGTATTTCGTATTAGTTATCACTGTAGAGTGACTTCGTGTCACTTTGACTCGTATATTTCTATATTTTGCAGTTTCAAAATTAAGCTATAAATTTGTATGTTATATTCCAGGCAAGTATTGGACTCAAAATATGGGTTGAAGAGGTGGCAAATTGGGGAAATAGCTTCCAAAATCGGACAGTTATATTACCATTATTAGTAAGTACTATTATTGAATATTTGTCTAACCGGATACTTCAATTTTACCCTAATGCAATGAAGGAATGGTGATAGCTGTTGTAAGTTATGAAGTAACTTTGCAGGTTCTTAATTTTTTTAACAAAACCAGAATCATTATCAAATAAAAACCTTTTTATGGATGTAATTATGTGAAAATATTTTGGTTAATTTATTTATTTTTCAATTTATTGGAACAAAATTATTAATTGATATTTAGAGGCTGATAAAGAGAGGTTTTCTGTTGATAAATTTCCTTATTTCTCTATCTTACTATACCTATGTAGTAGTAATTGTAATTAAAGATGATTTTTTATTTTTGTGTGTCAAAGAATCTGTTTTGCCAAGAAACTGGAAATGCTTATTTTTCATTTCAGCCTACGTACAAGTGAAACAAATTACTTGAATGAAGCATACTCATTCTATGCTGCTATTAGGGGGAGGGCATACTATTCCAGAGCAGCAAAGGAAGATAGGTATGTTAATATTCCAAGTATATTATTTCTAATGTATATATTCTTTATTGACTTGGATCTGGAAACTATTTTCTAAAATGTCTTCATATGTTTTGTTTTAGATCGGACCTCATGGTGAAAAAACTTAGATATTATGCAAGATTTATTGTAGTTTGTTTACTTCTGAAGAAAATGAAACTGGTGCGAGACTTAGTTATGGTAAGAATGTTGAATTTAACATGGTTAATAAGTATAATTTGAATGCAAAATTTTGGTAGTGCAATATATAATTTTTGTAAATACAAGAAATAGAAAAATGAAATGTAGAAATAATGTTCTTGGTAAATAATGGATCTTCCAAAATTGAATATGGTTGTTTAAATGCACCTGCGAAAAGGTTTTCACTTACTCTCCTAAATTAAAGTTTTTAAAAAAATTAGTTTTTCATGAAAAAATTTAACATATTCATACAAAGACCAAAAATTTAAAAGCATGTCTGTTCACAATGAGGAAAACAAAAATATTCAGAAAGTTCTGCTTAGAGAAATATATAAAGTCATTTTATGCTGTTATGATGATCGATTTAAAGAGCTACCTTCAATATGTTTTTAACTGGCTGAAATCGAATGGGTTTGCCATTGGAATAGTAAATAATTAACATTTAGAAAAACCATTGTGTACGGTGATAAGTTACACCTATGCCCTTCATTTGTGTGAAGTCGAAATGTTTTATTCTCAGAACCAAGGAGTGGTGTACTCATTCCTTCCATATCAATTATATATGAAATATTTTGATTTATAGAAATGCATAGCCTCCTCCTCGTATTAAACAATTCTTTGTGTAGTAAGTAAACATTGAAATAATTGGAATTTTAATCATATTTTACCTTTTAGGAACTTGACAAACAGATAATTGACTATACTAGCACGTATGAACCTGATGATCAATTAGAATGGTCATTAGTGCTGGAAGAAATTAAATCATTCATTAAAGCTGATGGCATTGTTAGTGTTCTTCATGCTGACTCCAACACTATTGTTTTGTCCCACAGGTGTGTATAAATAGGATACTTCATTAACTTGCCTGGTATTGAAGGTTTTGTTTCCTAATGAGATGATTTTTTCAGCTTTATGTTTGGTAAATTTTTCCAATTTTCCTTTTTCTTCTTTTCACATCACTCATTTACTTCTTGCTTATTTCTTTGTTTACTTTTCCCTTATATATTTCTGCCTAATGAGTCATGGTTGTCTTAAGTATTGGAGTACAGGTACTTTACATTTTCAAGTAATTATAAACTAACAACTACCAATCTGAAATATTTGGTTCGTTTTGTCATTGCCTTGTGATAAGGATCAGATAAAAACATGTGCCTTACTTGGGATTGAATTGCATTTGATTCCTTGCTGTCTGGTTGCCATTAGTTGTGTGTGATATCTCTCAAAGCCTTTTTCCTTCAGCTACATTTCTGTTTTTCTTTAATTTTTGGCATTAAGCCTAGACTGTGTAGAAAATATGCTTGGCTGTTGACATTTAATTAATTATTTTGCAAACTAAATGGTAAGAATGTAGCTTGTCATTAGATACTTCTGCTACTTCAATATGTTGCTCATGTTAAACTATGAATTATAAAATTCTCTAATTCAGCTATTTTTAACACAATACCAACCACACTTTCATTCATATTCATTTATTGATATGCAGGGGCACCCCAAAAAAATGTGGGGTCCATTATTTCATACAAAAGTTCACCTCTTCCCCCAAATACATAAACAGAATTCATCTCTCCATGCAACAGAAATAACTTATAATGATTAATTTGAATTAAATGTAAATACATTTTGTAAGTTTTGAATGAAAAAAGGTTTGGTGCCCCAATTAAGTTAGGGCCTGGGACGTGTTGACCTGGAAGTTAACCCAGCTCCCCCCTTCTGCATGCCCTGTTGGCATATGCTTTCTTCTTTTCCCGTTTTATTTCTGTACTTCTTTTCCTTCTGTACTTTTCTTCTCTTCTATTGCTTAATTTCTTTTACTCGTGTCAAATTATAACTTTTCTTGAAGACAAAATGCTGGGCCAAAATATATAAAATTTCTTTTTATTCACTTCAAATTTTTTAATTTTGGCAGATTATGAAGAAATGTTTTTAATTAAATTTTGTTTGTATTCTGGATTTACAGATATCAAATTAATAAGCATTTCTGAATTTGAAAAATGATTGAAAAAAACACTAGATATTGAATGTGTATTTATTCAAATGATTGGTGAATTTTTATAGCCTAAGATTCCTATATAGACATAGTTGTTTTTGTTTTTTCGTTTTCCTAGACTGGAAGGTGTAAAAATTACATTAGATTGGTCTTCTGCTGGGGCTCAGGTTTGAGCCCCAGCTTATCTTCATGGAATTTATGGTAGACAAAGTGAGCTGTGGGCAGGATTTGCCATAATTCATCAGTTTCTCATGCCTCCCATTCTACCATTTCTCTAGCATCATTCATCTTATTAACATTTTCAGTTTGTTTACAAAGAAGACTATGATCACATCAACCTCTTCTAGTTATTACCAACTCATTATTTCCCAATTACCACACACTATACATTTCCAAAAATAGGTATTAATCTTATAGCTATTATTTATTAATTAGTGTGTGTTTGTGGCTTTCAATGACATTAGTAGTTGAAAGGCCCTAAACACAATAAGTAAATAATTAAATACATTATATTGTAATAGCTTGTAATTTAACTGTAGTGTATGGCTTAAATTTGTGTGTGTGGAGGGGGGGATGAAAAAAGAGAAGCAAGAGGGAGAATCAGCTCAAAATCCTTTGACTGCAAGCAGAGAATAAAGAATAACAAATATCAAACAATTATATGGAAATGATTAAAAATATAATTAACTTGTTTAACTGAGCCTGAGTTAAATGCGAATGTGTTTCATCATGGGTGATGGGAAAGGAACTGTGTAAGCCACCACGGCAGCAGGTAGTCAAATCAGTGCACCACTACAGTTACCTTTCATCTCCACATGGTATCCCACTGCCCCAATAAAAATTCCTGGACATCTAAGTACAGAAGTGAATCAAACATGCCAATTCAAGACTATATTCTGCATGAAAAATTGAGTTTCTGAAGTCTTATTTGTTTAATTGTCACTTCATACATATACGGGATATTCTGGGAGGAAACGTCCAAACTTTGCAAATAAGCACTTAAGACAATTTTAAGCAAATTTTGTCTAATAAACTATTGTGATATTACAAATGGTTGAGCTGCAATAAACACTCAAAAGTTGGTGTAAAAAAAATGCTTTCTAGGCAGAAATTTGCATTGCAGAAGCATAGAAAAACTCCAGAAACATGTAAATTGTTTATTATTTACAAAAGAAATTAATATATATTTTCAGATAGAAAAATTAACCAAGAAATAAATAAAGTAGTCGAAATGTGTAAATTGGGTGCTTTTTTATTTTTGTGTTAATTTTTCTTTCTGAACAAATAAACTCGTTTCTTTTGTAAATAATAAACAATTTACATGTTTCTATGCTTCTGCAATGCAAATTTTTGCCTAGAAAGCATTTTTTCTAACCAACTTTTTGAGTGCTTATAGTGGCTTATCCATTTGGAATATCAAAGTAGTTCATTGAACAAAATATGCTTAAAATTGCCTGAAGAGATTATTTTCGAAGTTTTAAAGTTTCCACCTCAGGCAACTGTATATGTAGTTTAAAATGAAATAGGTTAGCATCTGAAGTTCCAAGGACAAATATGTTGCTGAGTATTGCAAACAGAATCATCAAAATTTGAATTTGAGATTTTTTTTTGTTGTGAGAAATGTAATGAACTACTAAAGCATGAATTAAAGTCTACATTTTTATTGCACTAGTTATAAAGAGTCATACTTCTGTTTTTCTGTTGGCATTAAACAAAAAAAAGTATTTACAAATGCTTGTGAGAGTAATTGTTTGAAGGAGACTGTAAAGTATTGTTTAGTTTCTTATATCACATATATTGATCCACAACACTTTGTACACTATCGGGTGGCAATTTTATGTGGAAACAGCGTCGTGCGGCCCTGAAATTTGCCACTTAACCCAAAGATGATGTTTCCAGAGTTTGTAAGTTCTTGCAATATTGTATTAAATAGCAAGGTGTAATCAGGAATGATTGTGCTACCAGTTTTTTTTTTTTAATTCCTTGAAATAAGCAAATCTTAATTTAGTATTATAATTTATTACTCATTTTATGTTGAAGATTTCTTTGTGCTGTGTTATTCAGTTATATCATGGCCTAGGCAATTTATTTACATACCATCATCAACGCTATATTAAAATAAATACATTTTGTTCTCAGATTTCCATTTTGAGTTATTCCATTTATCTTTTTAGTGATCTTTGGTATAGCAAATTTTGCAGCAGTCCTTGTTTGATTTCAGGGCAATTTTGATTTTCCCATCACTCATATGTAGAGTATTTACTTCTGTCATAAATAAAAATTATTCAAATAACTATTTATTCCATAACAAATAAAATATTGAAGTTATTGTAATTAGTTTTGTTATGAGAAGAATGTTCATATTATAAATGCATGTGTGTGTGCTACTTATGAAACATGATTTTTGTGTTTCACATTTATCTTCAGAGTAGATATTACTCTGGATTTCTTGATTCTAGAAAAAAGGTGTTCTAGAAAAAAAAAGGAAGAGAAATTGGACTATAGTAAAGATTTTTGCATAAATGATCAAAAAAGTAATAATACTAAATAACCGAAAAATATAATTAAAATAAGCATGTGATTATCATTGCAATGATAACCTTCCTTTTACACATTCACATCGAAGACCATATAATTTTCACAAAAGACATCCAAATACACTACAAACATCCTAATAGATCTGGAAAATGTGTATAGAAATCAGCAGGAAGTGTAATAATAACATACAGTATTTGAACTTGGCTACAATGTTACTTGCATTTTCTTTAAATGTTTTCTATACTGATATTGTGATTAGAAGTTACACATGTAGGTGTATAGCATTTTCTTTGATTATAGCAAAGTACTGTATACTTTCATTTCATTTATAAACACCCGAAATACATAAATTTCAAAAATTATCTGGACTATCTACAACATTTCACTTTGTATGTTTGTTTCAGACTTAGTCCCCTAACAACACCACCTGTTGAGAAATCACCGATCATGAACTTGACCCTCCAAGAAATTCTTATTGTTGGCAATTGTAATGATCAGGTAAATTTTGAGGCAGGCATTGACTTTGCAAGTTGTGTATATTATTGATTTATATTGAAAGAATTGGGAGTTGATTCATTATAATTTTGTGGTTTACAGGTGAAGTTTAGTGAACTGACAATGGATATGTTCAGAATGCTGCAAACACTAGAGAGAGAGCCTCAGGAAGATTTCAATCACATTTATGATGCTTCTCCTGCTCCAGGAAGAATGCCTTTAGTAAGTTGCACCATTAAATATTTCATACTAATGGGGATACATTAGAAACTTTAGTGCATGGCATACATCTTCATACGTTTCTCATGAAATCATACTAATTGCTGTCTTGCTGGTAGTGGTCTGCCTAATCCTTTTGTATTCATGCATGGTGGTTACTATCTTTTAGGAGAAGGGTTACTCCTTGGCAGGTGGCAAAAGCTCATATCCTTTAGTATCTGCATGTCAGGAAAATGGAGACCGGCCTTTGAAACGTGAAAACCCTCATAAGTACCTGTTGTATAAACCAACTTTCAGTCAGGTGATGGTGTTCTTAGCTTCAGGTAAACTTCTTCTTTGCAGTCTGCTGCATATTTTTTTGTAACTTGTGAATGAAGTGCTGAACTTCCTCATTGCGAAATGGTCTCATATGTACAAATTGTTTGTTTAGGTTTTAAAGAACTTCCTGCAAATGGCGCATTGCTTCTGTACATTTCTGCAGATGGCTGTTTTTCTTCCATGAAACACCCTGAAGATAGTAAGTTTTATTTGTAGTTCATATGATACATACAAAATGGCTTTCTTTGCATGGTGCTATTTTTCCTCACGTGTTGACTTTTCCATTTCTGAACAGTATTATTAAATATATATATATTTATATATATTATGAAAAAGTATTTTACATACTCTAATTAAAAGTAATAAGTAAATTAAATATGTAAATAATACAACATATATACTAGTCATTAACGTATACTCTGGCATATGTATTTGGTCTTAAAGTTGTATTTACTTGAAAAGTCTAAGTTTGTTCTATCAGGATTATAGCTTTCACGCATACAGTAAAACCTCATTAGTATGTATGGACGTAAATATGGTATTTTAGTTTCTTCTCAGATCTTTTTGTAATGGATGCTTTTATCATAATTTAAGTGTCAATAGCCCACTACATTAGCATGAAATTGAACAGATCACTAACAATACACTGTTTACAGCCTTTCTTCTAAGAAGAGTGTGATCTGAATATGCGAATGCCTTTCTGGTTACGTGATGATTCCTAACAACATTATCATGCTTTTGATGTTTGTGTGATTACAACGTTTTTAATATGGATAAATGTTTAAACTTCCCTACTTATAATTGTTTCAGTATAGGTATCTATATTGCATCCTATCAGGCTTCGATTGTTTCTTTAATATCTTGATATTTTTTTAGAGTATCGTCCAAGCAACCACTTAAATGTGTTAAGCAGGATCTCAGTGTATCAAGTAGTTTTGATATTGAGTAGCACAAGATGCTTTTTTTGTGTTTTAGTTGTTATTGAAGACCGAGAATGGAGCCCTTCCTTGGTATTGATGCTTAAAATAGTGTTTGCAGAGTGGATCACATAAGCATTATTTTGCTGAATCATCACTGGCAAGTAAGAAAGTTGTTGAAATGAAAGGGGGAGGGAGTATGTAGTCCGTACAAACATTAAATGTGCAGTCCATTAGGAAACGTGGCTAGCAGTAGTGCAAAATTTTGGTTGTGGCCCAAGGTTATCATGTACAACAGAAAATAGTTGATATCAGAATTTGTTGATAATGAAGACTGGAAGGGTTGTCACATTTATATTCTTTGGTGTTTATAGTCAGTTTGATTACTGAATTTTCAAAGCACACTGATTAGAATTTTCAAGTATATGAGGTAGTTAGCTATTGAACTGATGTGAAGTGGTTGCTGTATTTTAACGACGTTGAAACGGATGTGACCATACCTCTCAGTCGCTCGCAAAAACTGTGAAGATATGGATAAGCAATAGAAAAGCATTTTGCTTTCATGCGTAAATCATATGGCATGTAATTAACATCCTGTATGTGTAGCTGTGCTGTGTAATGCTTAGTATTCTTAAGCATTTACTAATATATGTTTTAATATTTAATGAAATAGTAGTAGCATGCCTTTGACTTTAGAACAATGTTTGTATCTGTGTTGTTGAACTAGGAAACAATCTGTACATCATATGGTAAAAATTTAGATGTGCCAAGGATATTATAACAATCTATTTCCACTTTCAGTGCATTTTTCAGTAACAGTGGTATTGTGTTATTCGATAAAAGTGAAGGCAAAATTAGTTTTTTGATAATGCTGTGTTTGCCATGTTTTTCACTGCATATACATGTCTGTGTGTAATAGTTGCATAAACTTTAGTTCCCGCACCCTTTGAATTTCATGCTAATGACGTTTTACTGTATGTATGTATTATTTCAATAATTAATATGAATGTTAGACTTGCTTAACTTAAAATTGAACAGAATTTGCATGATTGTTAGGTTACTTTTGAGGTCTATATTATAAGTGAATTAGTTATCCAGTAATTACTCTTTTCTCTTACATAAATTTATTTGATCTAATTTGTAGATTTTACCAGTGTAAGTGAGAAATAATGTATTTGTGTTTTCTAAGAGTGATGTTGATAAAGTTGACCACAATTCTTGAATACTCATAGCACATAGCTCCAGAGGATCATTTACAGTTGTATCTTGCATGGAGGTTTAGTTATTTGAGGTAGAAGCTTCTAGCTTGGTAGATCATCATTTATTTCGCATGGCAGAAGCTATAAATGTAAACTGTTAGAATTTATTTTCAAAAAATAATTTGAGACAGTTGTATGTTTTAAACACTACGAACATTTTTAGAACTTCTTTTGTTAAAACAATATTTGAAATTCTTGTGATGTAAAGCCAGTGAATCATACTATTATTACTTACTAAGTTTGTTTAGATTTTCTTAATAGTTTTTAATAGAAAATAGAATAATTGTGCTCAATCTTATGTTCAATATCGGAATACTAAATGTAATATTTCTGATTAAATTTTTTTCACAGTGGGTTATGATTTGGGAGGAGTTTTAACAAGTAGTAAGAAGGAATTAGATCACACAAACAAGAAAGGAATCCAATTGAAAGAAATGCACTGGTATGTAATGATATTGCTTGTACCCTTAGCTTGTTTTCTTTGTTTGTGTTCTTATTGTGCGATTTGTCAAGAGCTTCCGAAACAAATGCTCTCTCTTTTATTTGTAGTTTATATCCTGGTGACCTGTACCCATTCACTCGGAAGCCGTTTTTTGTGATTGTGGATTCTGACAACAGTTTTGTGTTCCAACACATTCCACGTTATTTTGGTCAGCCACTTGTTGTACTTATGTCACCCCAGGATGTTCCACCTGCCTTCCAAGGTACTGTTTGGACATTTTTCCATAGTGTGATTGAATTATGTGGTTGTATGTTCATGTTTACTTTTTGTTTTGTCGGGACACATCTACTCAATCTATTTAAAACTTTGCCTCTACTTCAAAATTTTTAGTTTTGTAAGTAATTAATAAAATTTGATTTTGTTGCAAGAGATGATCCTTAGGTTCTACATAACTATTATAATCATGTGTTCTTGAAATTATTATTTGCCTATTTTATTTTATTTCCTTAACTATTTTATCACAATAGAACAAAGAAAAATTTTATGAGGACATCTCAAACAAGTTTCTAATTTCGGATTAGCTAAATATTGTCCGAAAATCTCATGTAGTGCCTTTGGTAAAGTGTGAAATGGCTGGACTCTTTTCATCAGTACACACTTTTCAATTTTGTTACTTAATTCTTTGGACTTTTCCTTACCAGGCTTATAATATGATTTGTGGTATAAGCCTGGATTTAAATATAATTGGAAAAGATAAAGAAAAGCAAATGTGTTATTATGTTATTTTTCCTTTAGAGTCCTTATTTTTACATTCATTTATGTAATGTAACAGATGAATATTTAATAAAAATGATATGAATATTTTGGGGTAGTGGTCAAAGAATATCAATGAAAAGGTTAAAATTTGGTTTAAAGGTTGTGATTTTAATGCATTTGGAAAAGAAGCTTAGAAATAGTAATTTACATTTTGTTAGAAGAGTAATTAACTTTGTCAACAAATTCATTTTTCCTTCAGGTATTGATGTTTACTCATACTGACAGGCCAAATTGTCACCATTTCAATTGGATTATTATGTCCTGTTGTTTCTGTAGAGAGACAAAAAAAATCTTGTTAATTTTGAGTTTAAGACTTTTCTGACTGTGTATGTGTGTGTGTGTGCGTTTAGAAAATATTATTTAATAATTTAAACGATGAAATTGAGTAATCAACGTCTTTTTCTGTTAGTTATGATGTTCATGTAAATTTTGATTGATAAGTAATTCTAATTTTAAAAAATGTAATAGGTGCCACAAAATAAAATCATTTCTCCCATTTGGTTTCATGATTACTAAATTATTATATTGCATATATTAATGATTTTGTTTTATGAACAGGAATTAAAAGCAGTAGTTGTAATGTCATCAAATTTATTTTATTTTATTTTTTTCTTGTTGATAATGGGTGTATTTGTCCACAAAAAATTTCAATTCGTGAGAAATAAGTGCTTCAGAATCTTCATTTTTTCTTAATAAATGTTTTGTTTAGATACAGAGTTCAATTCCACTACCAAAGGTACATTTATTTGTACTTTACAATTGACAATATCCAGTGTTGTTTTTGATAATGTATTATTTTTGTTACTCTTATTTTATTTTATTTTATCTTATATATTCTAAATTGGAGATCAGTCTTGTAGATACTGCTCAGAAAACTTTCTAGAAATTATATTGTGTTGCACTCACGTTACTCAATTTTTTGAAACAGAACAACAAAATACCACATTTTTTACATTGTATTTAAAGATATTTTCACAATTTATTTTGTGAAGGTCTGGCTGTTACAACACTTCATAAAAGTAGAAGAAAATTTATTTTCTTTTTACAATATTACTTTGTGGTTTTCACTTCCTAGTGTATACTATAACATACCATAGATGCATTAATTTTTGCTTCCTTACTTTTGAGTACCATATCATCCTATACCATCAATTTATATCCTATTAAGTTAGTTGTTTATGTAGCAAGTTATTGTAAAAATGATAATGTTACTGTAGTATTGTAACATAAACATTACTTGTTGCTGTGGTCTTGAACAAGGATGTAAACAATTCCTGTACAGTTCAGAAGCATGTTTTATATATGTTTTGAAAATTTATGTTTGAGAATATGCAAGAGAATAATTGCTAATTTTCAGTGGTGTAGACATTTAATTTTTTTTCTGATTACCTTATTATAGTTAATGAGTTTGTTATAGAGGTCACAATGAAAGGAGTATTGTTCTTGTACCATAAGGTACATTGCATTGAGGTAGCAAAAGCAATAAAGTGAGTCATTATGATGTTATAGCAGATCTGTATCATTCATCAGTTACAAGTTTTATTTTGTATGCTATTCATTTCTTAGCTAAATTTACGTGAATATCTTGATAAGATAGTAATGCTACTAGTCTTTTTTTAATCTATACTTTTCTGTCTTCAAAATGGAGTGTTATAATGAAGTTATTATGTAACAAGTGCTATAATAAATCCATGAAAGCGCTAATGCTCTAAAGAGCTTCTCATAACATTCATAAGAATGGGCTAATCAACATTATCATACCTTTGTAGATAATGTTTTATAGCTGTCACACAACTGATTTACTTTATGTAAATTCCATATATGATTTTAACCCTTAACTTCTAACATCAGACTACTATCATTTGCAATGTTTGTATTTCTATGTTTGCAATAGCTATTGGTTGCATTTAATGTTGTATCAGTTTAACTCTAAGTTAAGCATCATTTAAGTGTTTTTTTTGGATGTGACTCTGAAAGATATTTTTGTGTGTCAATCTCTTGGTCCTGGGTAGTGTATAATGTTGCTAATGTTTGATTTAATTTTTTAATTTTTTCCTCTCTCTCCCTGAAAATTATGTTGCAGAAGAGTGAGAAAAGTACTTCTTCTGTATTTATGTGTTGTATTAAAAATACATTTTTATTTGTTTCTGGTTTATATAATTGTAATTCATTATTATATTGTTTCACTAACAATTGAAACAAATGAGAAAATATTTAGTGTAATTTCTACTAATGAAGTTAAAGTAAATCTTAGGAGTGTCAGAGACTGATGTTGCCATTAAAGTCACAAAAAGGATGTTACTAGTTGAGGGTTAAGAACATAATGAAGTGGAATGATATGATAGAAGCCACAGTTAAATATAGAAAAATTAAAGTTCATTCCTTATTTCTTTGTTTGAATAATTGTGATCACCCCAAAGGTAACTCTTTGAGAAGTGACAGAGACAAAACACTGCTTTTTCTTTTATCTATCAATCCCAGGATTTAAACTATCTCTCCATGTGAAATTTGTGATGGACAATAACAATTTGCAACAGGTTTTCATGGATTACTTTTTTTTCTCTACCTCAAATCTGACACTGCCCAACTCCTTTTTTTCACAGATTATTGACAATGAAGTGATCATTACAGTTGGTTCGTACTGTTTGGATACAAACCAATAGGAATTTGTACAAATATAAAAGGATTATTCTCTTGCATAAAAAAAACCTAATTATTTTAAAATTTAAAACCCTGAAGAGATTCAGTTAGTTGAAGTGTCATCAAAAAGGATTTTGCAATACATGTGTGAAATTTTGCTTGTAAGGGAACAACATAACTTGATACAGCAGTGATAAGTATTTTGCAATATGTTAATGAATATAATATGTATTATTCCCATACAACCAAAAACTCACAAACATTGGCATATCCACAACTGAATGTTTCAGTTAGTGATGGTCCAGGAGTGGTAATGAAGGGAGGAAATCTAATGACTAGCAAGAGAGATTGTTTAACAAATGCAGAATGTATTTGTCAAATGTCAAATGTATTTGTTCAATTTTCAAATGCAGTTTCTTTTTTGCAGATCACCAGCACAACGGCAGTCTTTTTACCCTCTTCCTACATAGCCCCCTGACAGCTTTCTGCTTTATTTGTAATATCTTAAATATTCCTATTCACCACTGGGAAAGATGTCAGTCATATATAGATCGTTTTGTCACGGAAGCAAGTAGATTATTTACAAGGTGTCGAATAGGTAATTTTTTTTATTTTTTTTTATTGATTTGTGTAAAAGTACCTTAATCTGCTGTATGAAACCCTTTGTTGTTGTTGTTTTACAGACTCAGCATATCTCCAGTTCTTTGGAGATGACTTTTTAAGATTATTGCTTTTGAGATACGTGTTCTGTGATGTTGTTCTTCATCTACACAGATCTTTTAAGGTAAAAATTCAAGTCTCATTTGCATTCTTAATGTACATGTAATATATTAAGGCAAAACAAAGCTCTTCTCTGTGAGCTGTTACTTTGCATGATGTGAAGGTATGTTTTTCCTTACCTTATTTACATTTCATGTTTTTCCTACTGAGCCAAACGAGTAAGAGTTCTGTTGTGAGAATAGAAAGAAACTGTTTTTCCTAATATTCAGTAAAACATGAGGAATCTGAGTGTAATAGTGATGTGTAATGACTAAATTATTTAAAAAGTTCAAGTATCAATGCTATCGAAGGTCAAACGTGTGTAAGATAAGGAAACTGCCCACAAGAAAAAATAAAGAAAATGTTTTAATGTACAATTTTCACAAAAAAGAAACAACAATAAGAAATATATTTGATGTTCCAAATTGGTTTCATTATTAGAAATTAATACTAAATGAAGAAAAATATTTTTCAATGGAGATTTGTTTATCAAATCAAAGATTGCATACTTCATATAAAATGATGTGCAGTTGTCTAATATTAAGTATGCTTATTTCTGTGTGCCTCAATCAAAATAAACCTATGCTCATCATTTGGTATTCTTTCAAATTCAGCTAGCCATCATGCAGCTTGTTGCATATATTTTGAAAATGAACATTCTCCTTGAGATATGACATACTATTCTATGAAAATGCAGTCTGTATTTCCCAGGCTTTTCGATTACAGAAAAGAGTTTTTCTTGTTTATGCAAATTCCAACCTTATGATTAGGCACGTTAAGCTCTTTTCATTGAGGTCAAAATCATACCATCTCCTTGCCAGTTCATTTTTCAAATCAGTGTCTTTGTCACAACTGACTCGCTAAAGACTTGGAACAGTGAAACCTGCTCAAATGTTCACCTGAATTAAGCTGTCACTTCCATTAGTGGCTTCCTTTTGTTAAGCCATTGATCTTTTAATAAGACAGGTAAATATTCCCTTTTTTCCTGGCTGAGGGGCCAATGGCCAGGCCACATTTTTGTTGATTTGCCTTAATTACACAGTCATTGAACTGTTTTATATTGCGTGGAAAAATGGAAAAGTGGAAAAATGGTGATCATCATTGTGAATATCTCCCTGTAATGAGAGACAGTGTCAGATTATTTTGGACACTGATACCCATAATTCAATTTGATTATACTTCCAGTATCTTTATAAGCGGCCACCTCTATTAATCACCAAAATTTGTTGCTACCATTGGCGATTGCTTCAGACAGGTTTCATTGTATTTTCATCCAGTATAAGTATCTATTATTATTACACATGAATCATTTGAATTATAAAAATTACTTAGAAGTAATTTTTATGTTGTCGAATGTATAATTGTTAGTAGAAAATTTATTTTCCAATCTTCAACATTTTAGAAATATTTCACAGAGGTAATTGGACACATAAAGAAGAAAAAATGTAGTGGTGCTAGAGCAGCACATATTTTCTTGCATCCCTTCCAAATTTGCAATTTTTGAAAATCGGGTGTGTTCAATGAAAATTGTATCTGCACTATTTTTTTAGGCTTCCCTTGCTCTATCTATTGAAGAAAGTTTGAAATGGTTTTTAAGAAAAAGTTGTTGTATTTTTGTTATTAACATTATTTGCAATTGTTGAAAACTCTGAGATTTCAATGAAAATTAGATGCACCACTTTACATGCACCGAGGGCATAGTTCAAATAAAAATATTTTCAAAATATGCATTTCAAATTTGCAAGCCCCAAGTTTATTCAGATTGATCAAGGAATACCAGTTTTGAAGAAAATTGTTTGAAAATTTTAGGTGGTATCATTGGCGAGAGACAGAAGATGTTTTGTCATCAATTGATTTTTCAGTATCAGGAATGAACACAGTGTTAGAGGAAGTAATTTACTACATATAGGAACTAGATTTATCCACTTTTTCGTTACCAGGGCCTGGCAATAAGACAATATTGCAATTTTCTGTCAAGAAATTGTTGATTTCTAGTGCACGATAATAATTTTATCTTTTCTTACAAGAAAGTAAAAATTATATTTTCTAAAAATGAAAAAAGCGTTTCCCATAATGTTAATTCAGAAATTGTAACACTTATGTTTTGGGAAGTTTCTATATTGAAGTACAATGTTACAGACAAATAGCAGATAACACATTTCACTTTTAATTTTGTATCAAATATGCCTGCAGGTGTGAGCACTCAACAGACAGCTTTCACCTGACATAAGTAGATTTTGACACTATATTTGTATTTGGAAAAATACTGAAATTTTCTCTTGAAAGAAATCTTATAGATCGGGAAGAACTGTGTGGCTTTAGAGCTGAATGCTCATGTACTGAAATATTTTTAGTATTGGACAAGGTTGACATTGTTTACCCATAAGTTAGAAACTCAAGTAGTGTTCAAAGATTTAAGAACATCCTATGACACTGTTCTATTAAATAAACTCTGAATGGATATGGAGAATCAAAATGTTAAGATGCACTTTTAAGGCGTTCTAAAATAAAGACCTCTACAACAGAAATGTATGTCAATTGGAAGAACCTTTCCAAACCATTTTCTGTAAATAAATGCTTACAACAAAAGTGTCGCTATGCTTAAATTATATTTAAATGACACTTAGAAAAACTGGAGGAGAAATTGCAATTGGGGTATGAAAAAGTCAATACCATGCTGTATTCTCTAACTTTTGCTGACAACAAAGTTGCCTTCACTAAGAAAGAAGACTGTTTTGTATATGCTGCAAAACTTCATGAAGAGTACTTGAATTGGGGGCGGGAAATAAATTTTAATAAAACATAATATTTGGTTGTATGGAAAACACTTTTGAAAAATATTTTTATTATTTTAACTTGTACTCTCGCCACTTCCAAAATATAAGACCGTTCAATTACTGTAATGAATACTACATTTTGTACTGGTGATAATTTTTTAATAAATTAAACAGCTTTTAGAAACGGCTTGAAATATTTTTCAAAATTAATTACTTTAAATTCTGGATTGGAATCTTTTTAAACAATTGTTATTTCAAAAAATTCTGAGCATGTAGACTCTAAAAGATTAAAGGAGAAAAAAGTTTATTAATAGTAGGCTGGGTTGGCCTGTTAGGGAGTAGAAAACTTGTTTAAAAAAATATTTTGGATTAGAATTGTAGTTCAAAATATTCTTTACTTTCATTGGGGAGTGTTTTCACTATCTTGTCCAATTAATATGAGTGAACTGTCTTTTTGAGAATTACTTTAACTTTTGGTCATTCTGTACTTCATATTGGCTGTATATTTTCTTTTTCGATTGTGCCTTGTATTTTCATTTTCGATTGTGCCTTGTTAAGACAGGAATCGTGAACTTAATCATGGGGTGGCTTATTTTTCCTCTGTAGTATATCTTGTGGGGGATGTTGCCAATGAAATTTGAGTGGTTTGGTTTTTGGTTTTGCTAGTAATTTGTAATCAATCATCTAGATCATTTATTCCCAAAGTTGGGGCTTGCCCTCAGAGGCAGGCTTACAGACAAGTCGAGGGGGTGGGGGCGATACTCATTGAGCCATGGTATACCCGAACATTCCTGAGGACTCAGCACGCCAGGAAGATTGTCAGAGTTACCTTGTTGTGTTGTATGATTTGTGGCATTAGATATCGTTCAAGATGAGCTCAGCCAAAAAAAAATGCTAGCATAACAATGACTATATTAAATATGGATTTATTTGCTTTCTTAGGGATGGCGTCGAACATCCTCAGTGTGTATTTTGCTATGTAGTATTGACTAATTTGTGCGGGAAAGCATTTTCAGTGCTTGTTGCAATTAAAACTATCGGGGCAAACTTCACATTGCTAACAATTTACATTGTACTTTCTGATATTCAACCAAGGATAGGAAATGTAAAAAATGTAAGCTCACCATTCTCACTGATTTTCTTCGTCCCTGTTTTAATTTAAATTTCAACTAGTAATAATAATGGGGTATAAATCGTATTGCATTTTCTTGACCTAACCTAAAAAAACTAACAAGAGGTCAAAAAACATAATATCTTGAAAAATTGTAAAGAATAAAAGAATTAATGTATTGTTACTCAATGTAACATTTGTTTTATTCATTACTAAATAAAAATGTGCAAGGAGGCATGGAAACTTTTGCTATTGACAGATGGGAAGCGTGGTAAATGAAGTTTGGGAATCTCTGATCTAGATGATATTTCAGGATGTTCGATGTTTTGACATTTTCTTTCTATGCCATTCTTACAAAGGGAAAACACCTTACACAAGATGCAAACTCACAATAGTTGATTCAGTATTTGTTGCTGCTGCCATCTCCACCTAGTATGTTGCTGTACATTTCATTTATCAAGATAGTACATTATTGCCTTGCAGAACATTATCTTTACAAATTTAGTTCTGAACTACATGAATGAAGAAATGTCTTGTGTAATAAAGATTAAATAAGATAATATTAACTGAATGGATATTGACTACCATCTGTACAAGTAACAAAATAACTTTCAATGCATTATGTGTGAAAACAAAATGGTCTTGTTCTTGCACCTTTTTCTTCTTATTTTTATTTTTTCAAAAAACACAACATAAATTAATGCCTAATCAGAAAGTATCTGTGTAGGGTGGGGTATCTTGCAGATGCAAAGACATGGTGCAAAAGAAGAATGAAAAGAAGGACGAAACGTTTGGCCCAACTATGCCAACTGGACCACGGCCTACCAGCTCGGAAAATTTACTTTCTATTGACTCCGGCCGTGAAAGCCTACGATACTATATAAAGCCTATGATACATGGTGCAAAATTTACTAATGTGACAATGCCAATTAAAAATCTGCTCAGTTACATGATATCCTGATCTTCATTGTAATGTGCTATGCTAGAGGCCAAAATGATGTGTAGCGAACAAAACAATGATTTTTTATTCATCCTGTTTTAGAAATCCTGTGTACCAAGAGGGATCTTGCTCTATTGTGTTGGTGTAGCAAGGGGGTATGCTCCATAATCTTGTTCTTCATTACATACTCCATAAAT